ATGTTTTTTTCATACAAATCAAGTAGATATCGAGAAAAGGAAATATGTAAAGTATTTCTATACTTTTATCTAACGTGAAAGTCGAAGATTATTTTTCTATTACATATAAATATTTTGAAACTTAAACATCGTTTGTTTTTCAGTGACATATTTGCATAGAACACATCCTTATACATTTATTTGTACTTTTTTTTCAACTATCGAAGATCTAATGTGAACAAAATAAAAAAAAAGATAAATAACAATAAATATTTTTAGTTTGACTATTTAAAAAAGAATTCATTTTACATATTTTATACTCAATTGTTAAAAGTATCTTGAAGTAAGTTGCATCTCCGACAATACACATTAGAAAAAAAAAAAGAAGAAGGAAAAAACAACATTTTTCAATTTCTTTTCGAGTGAAACTTGTAATAGGAACAGTTGCTTTGTTACGTTACATTTCACGAATAACGTTAGAGAAATAGAAAACATTAATTAAAAAAAAAAAAAAATCATCTTTTAAAATGGCCAGCAGCATATACACAAAGAAAAAAGAAAGCTTGTCAGTGTTGGAGTAAAAAATATGAAAATTTCCAAACCGTGCGCATTGTTTATATAAAAGGCGTGCTTGTTAGAAAAACGGGAAAATAGGTGCCATAAAATAGAGTAAGTCAGGTTTCAAATGTTGAGATTAGAATATGGAGACTGAATAGTTTTCAACGTATATGTACATAGTTTATTATTTTTTTGAAAGAAAAATAAAATCTAGTTATATCTTTTGAGGCTACAATATAGATATTGTAAACGCCTATTTCCGGTTTGAAAATCGAAGAGCGGAGTAAAAAAACAAAAAGAAAGATTTGATCCCACCTCTATTTTCAAAGGGGTTTCTGGTTTTAAATTTATAGACTTCTATATTCTGCGGAAATTGAACAAGCCCTTGAAAGTTTTTACAGTATTATGAACATGAATAATACTGTGAATCTTTATAAAAAAAAACAGTAGTACCTCTTTTGAAATATCAAAAGATATTCTAGCTAAGTTTTTTTTTTTTTTTTTTGAATTAATTACACATGAACACATGTTGTTATTTCTTCATGTGACACGAATTTTTTCTACTTAATTGAATGGGTTCGAGCGTTTTCTTTTTTCTTAACACTACTAGTAAAGATAATTGATATTATTCTGAGTTTATATCTTATTTTCATTATAGAGAATCAATTTGTCATTTTTCTTATTTTTCATATTTTAATACGGGATAACACACAAGATATTTTATCATTTTAGATTATTATATGCTTTACATGTATACATATTTCAACGTTTAACTGAGTGCAACATTAATTGTGTTGTTTCTCTTTCGTGTTATTCTACTTTTATTTTTTATTAAAAATATATTCGTATTACACACAAAAAATTGCGTATTATTGCGTGCTATCTTTCTTATACTATTATCTATACAAATTATATAGTCAAAAAGAAGAAAATTATGATGATAAATAATAGTGTTCGTGTATAGAAGTGTTTTTTTTTTCTTATATCAAATAAAAAGTTATTTAAACTAAAACAAATGCCTGTTAATCAAACATATTTTTTATCAAGAAATAATGGTAATGCATTTCATTACTTCCGGTTTTTATAACGTAACTAGTTGATTAAATCAATAAAAATTTAAATATTTTCTTATTCTAGAACCTGTTTAGTTATAACGAAGACTACAGGTCAAAAAATATTTTTTTATCAGAAAACTCTTTATTAGTTAAATAACCATAATAATAACTGATTATACATTTGTATGATTTTTATATTTAGGTAGTCTAATAGAAATGTTAACAACAGTTCAGGAAGAATCCAATATGTGTCAAAATTATACTAACGGCTTTTTAATCGACGAAATAAAAGATAAAGTGAACGTTGTAGTACCAATTTTTGTCGTATTAGGTTTGTACCTTTTTAATTCAACTTGATTGTTATACATTTGTTACGACATCCCTATTAGAGACCTATTTTCGTTCCAGACTAGCTGATTTTAGTAAAATTTTTACAGAATCTGTCTTTTATTCTATAACAATAATCGGAAATTTTTAGACCCTCGAAAGTTGAATTTTCTAAGAGTTATCTTAAAAGTAAGGGTCAGAAAGTAAGTGGTCGAGTGACAAAAATTTAGCCGCTGCTTTGAGTACTAAAAAGTCCGATGTGCTTTCGAAATTAAGCCAAGACGTAGCACTACGACTTCAGTGAGTCGAGTTTTTCATATTTTTGGGTTTAGTTTTCCAGAGTTTTGATGAAAATACTGGGAAAAAGTTTCAACTGTCGAGAAATCTTTGCACAGAAAGAGCTACAACTCAAAAAAAATGATTTCGAGAAAAATGACATACATTTATTAGTGTACTTTAGAGCTTGAAAGTAAATGCTCATAATTTCTTAGCAGAAGGATGGACAGAATTTTGTAATGTCTCATTTTCATCAGAAAAGGTAGCGTGTCCAAATCTTGGTGTTTAGAAAATAGTTTGATTGCATAAGCATCGTAAGAAAACTACAACTCGAAATATTTTCATTTGTGAGATTTCTAAAAAATTTCCTCTGAAACAATGAGAATTTATGTTTGAAGAGATAGCGGTACAGATTCTGAAAGTAAACATTTTGACCTATTCAACCAAGCATAAATCTTAAATTCGGTATTTTTTAAGAAAATTAACTTTTTCAACACAGGAGATGCTCTTAATATGACAGGTAGATGAGATGTAGTGCAATACTTTAATATTTAACTATGAACTAATGGTTTGAAACAAATATTTTATCTTTAAAAAATGGAAATTTTTGTGTCTACTCTTTAATGATATATTAGCCAGAATAAATTCATAGAATTTCATTATAATTTTGAAATAGTATATCCTGTCGAATTCTATTACTGGGTCACCTTGTCTTTCCTTCTAATCTTATCTTCATTATTGTACTGTGTCTTTTTGCCCTGAGTATATCAATAATAAATGTCAAACTTGAGTGAAAAATTTACTCGAATCTTGCTAAGATTTTAGTGAGATTTCGTTTACATTTGTCCCCGATTTTAGATAAATCTTATAAGACTCGAAAGCTTTAAGATTTGAAAAGATTTTGTTACGAACTTACTAAGATCGCATTAAGATATAGGTTATAATTTATCTAAGATTTTTCAGGATTGGATAAGAATCTGTTGGTATCTTAACAGTACCAATTAGTACGCTTTTTAATAATATTAACTCATCTAAGATCATCTCCGTTCAACCGATGGAAAAATGAGTGATGTTAATTTTTTATACTTTTCACACAAACAAGAACTACATATACTTTCTTTTATTATACCCAACTAAACATTATTACTACATCTATTCCGTAAGATTTCGTGGAGCTTGAAAATCAAAATTTTTTTATATCGTAATGGGTGATTTAGAAAGATTGTAAATTTCGAATTTTCAGATTTTCAGAACACCTACATTTCTAACAGAGTCTATCTCGTGATTTGGAGGCAGTTTTGATCAATTTCGCGTGTTTTACGAGCATGTAATTTTCTTGCGTTTTTTATACTGTTTATTATGTACGAAGTTGATAATATTTATTAATTCTTTTATTTCTTCCTTTTTACTTTGTAGTTTATTTATATTGCTTAACCAGATGTTTCGATTAATAAAAATCTTCATCAGTAGTTGACAATAAAAACAAGTGTTATAAAACAAAAACAAAGATTAGAACAACCAAAATCTAAAATTAATCACAAACACTTTAAAGTTATACCATTAATTTTAGATTTTGGTTGTTCTAATCTTTGTTTTTGTTTTATAACACTTGTTTTTATTGTCAACTACTGATGAAGATTTTTATTAATCGAAACATCTGGTTAAGCAATATAAATAAACTACGAAGTAAAAAGGAAGAAATACACAAGGCCCAGCTCTTTAGCTTGTGCTGCTTAGAAACCGTAAGCGTTTTCCTAAGAGCCCCGATTTCGGTCAGCTGACCTTGGGTCACTCTAAAAAACCTTGAAATATAGATAATCTATCATGCTGAGTCGAGTGGTGATATTTATTTTCAGTTTCGAAGCGAATTAATTCGCTAGATTCTACCTTTTTGAAATATTGACTCAATACGCCGAGTTTTTGGAGTGACCCAAGGTTAGATGATCGAAATCGGGGCTCTTAGGAAAACGCTTACGGTTCTTGAGCAGCACAAGCTAAAGAGCTGGGCGTTGTGTATATCGATAGAGAGCAATTTTCTCTGTCGAATGATCATATTAGAATTTCAAATCCAACGGGGAATCTTTGCGCTAGGCAGTGTCCAATATGTCAAGCGAAAACTCACCTGATTGGTCAATTATCGACCAATCAGCTTTCGATATTTCTAAATAAAAAATATTGTCCTCTTTCGAATGTTGAAAACCGCAGGTCTCTAGCTGCTTCCAATCCGGAGTTATTTCACTTACAACCTACTCCATTGTTCATTGAAATGGATAGTAGTAGTCACACAAATTCTGTCTGTTAGTAGTCAACAATTATATACGCGATGTCATTCGTGTATAGGCACACTATTCATTAAAGTCTGAGCTAAATTCCATGAGTATCGCGATTACGTTTATATAGTTTATTTGTCAAGTCTTTGTTCACTTCAATGCAGTTTTCATCAATTTTGAACTGACTTCTATAATTTCAGAGTTAAGTTTTATGTATATGCTTTAAAAGATCGAATTTTGTTACAAAGCTCAACATATCTAAGATCGTTTCCTAGTAAGAATTTTAGGCATTTCATAAAATATTATAGTAAAACGTCAATTTAAATCAATTTATTTAAAGAAACACCACAAATAGCAAAGAGTACAAAGAGCTTAACGTACTCACTTCAGTACTGTTGCAGTATCAATTAAGTAGACAATATAAAAATGCTACGTGGAGAAAGAGAAGGAAGTAACAATAAGAAGAGCAAAGAAAGACAAACAACAACTGATAAGCTAAGAGAGAAAAAAGAATCAAAAATAAGATTAAGAAGTGATGAACAGTAAGATCTTGATAAGATACTCGATACTTTTAATTGAGATCTGAATCAGATTTGATGATTCTATACGAATAGTGATTTTGACTATCGAATGTTGGAATTTGGATGAATCTCTATCTCCTTTCGAGTGTTATTCGAAGAAGAGTTTTTCTCTACAACGTTTTTTCGACACTAATAGCAGACTCTGCTATAAATAATTGAAGGGGTGATTACACGTGATTACACTGAGTGTAATCACCCCTTCAATTATAGATAACATTTTCTATTACTTTTTCCTTAGCAATGCAATAATGATAGTTCGAACATTTCAATTTTCTCCATATTATATTACGAAGAGTTCAGACGCATCATTATCTTCAGTACACAGTTTTATAGAGAAAATGAGCTTATTTTCAAATTTTAATTGAAAAAGACAATAAAGGAGGAAGAAATCTTTTTTTTTACTAGTGTAAAAATTTTTAATGAAATTCAACGGAACGTTTTCATTAAAAAAATGAAGAAATCTTTTAAACTATTTGCGCCTGATGAAATGTTGAGATATAAAAGTGTCAGATTCTATCTCGTCTATCCATTAGAAATCATAAATCACATGAGAATCTAAAAGATAGTATTTGTTATGTTGTATTCATGTCTATGGCGTAAGTGAGGAGCACGCAACTCAAACATTAAGTTGAATTTCACATGGAAAAATTACTAACGAGCGAACTTCTCGAGGTGATTAAACGCTTTTTGATCGAAATCTAGTGGGTTATAGGTTATCGACCATGCTGATTCCGAATATAATTATGGGAGCTGCCCTTAACCGTACGAAGATCCGATTTTCGGGAAAACCAGGTGTTCAGAAACTCTTAAAGGTAACCAAAACCTTTCTTAATGAAGCATGATCGTAGACCGCAAATTTCTGATTAGAATGAGATATCTCCCAGCTCTACACGACCTCTCTTTGCAAAGTTATAGAATTTCCATGAATTTTTTCGCTCCTAATTTAGAAAAAATGAATTTTCTTAGTAGGAAAGTAAAATAGAGAAAAAGGCGATGCATGCTTTTAAAGCTCGTACAATAGCAGTTCCAATGAAGTTAAAAGTTTGGCTTCGTCTCTTCTCAAAAGAAACCTACATAGACCTACAAAAGAAGCATGTACCATTTTTAAATGATCTGATCACCGAAGTGACGCTTAATCGAATTTTGAGCTTACAGTCAAGTAAATATCAGTTTTATATTCAGATTTTAATGCTGAATCTAAAAAATATAGTCAGAAAGGTTGAAAAGAACTCTGAATGAAGAAAAATGGAATTTATTGAAAATTAACAGTCTTTCAGGCTTTTCAATTTTTCGACCTGAAAACATTTTCTGCAAAAGTTAAAAACTACTTTTTCTTACTCGCGAGGAACGGTCCCCAAATGTGCAATCGCTTTTTGCTTGAACTCTCGTGGACAATAGGTAATCGACTGCGCTAAATCCGAAGCTGACATCGGTTTGTGCTGCTAGGCCTCCAGAGAGCGGGTGTCTGGAAAACCAGGTTGTCAGAAACTCTTAAGGGTAACCAAAATCTTTCTTAATAAGACATGATTGTAGACCGCAAATTTCTGATTAAAATGAGATATTTCGAAGCTTTACACGATCTTTCTTTGCAAAGTTATAGAATTTACATGAAAAGCCCTAATTGTTCATTGTCAGCTCAAAGCTACAGAAAGAAGAAGAAATTAATTTAGGGCTGTTCGTGAAAATTCTTAAACTTTGTAAAGAAAGGTTGTGTAGAGCTGCGAGATATCTCATTCTAATCATGAATTTGCGGTCTATGATGAAGATTCCGTTAAGAAAGATTTTGGTTATCTTTTAAAGTTGCTGAAAACCTAGTTTTCCAGAAACCCGGTCTCAGGAGACCTGGTAGTACAAACCGATGTCAGATTCGAATTTAGCGTAGTCGATTACCTATTGTCCACAAGAGTTCAAGCAAAAAGCGCTTGCACACTTGGGGGCCTTTCCTCGTCAGCTTATCGCGCTCTATCCAACCATGTATGACTTAACTAGAAAAAAAATTTAACTTGAAGTTTGACTTGCGTGCAACCTTATAATTAATTATTCAAGTTATTTTTAATTTTATAGGTATAATTGGAAATATATTGAGTATAATAACATTTTCTCAATGTAAACTTCGTTCATCATCATGTGCATGTTATTTACTTTTATTAACAATTGCTGATACATTAGCATTAATTATTATATCACGTCCATATTTTTTTGAAAAATTTCATTATGTTCATCATTTAAATTCATCATTAGTTTGTGGTTTTCATTTTTTTTTAACAAAAATATTTGATCAATTAAGTCCATGGTTATTAGTATTTCTTGCATGTAATCGTTTATTTTTAACAAAATTTCCTCGAAGTTATAAAACATCAAAAACCGCTTTATTAACAACATTATCATTACTTATATTTTTAATTATTTTAAATTTACATTTATTATTTGGTATTGGTCTTGGTTATTCATTATCATCACCATGTTTAAGTGTTTGTGGACCATTATCATCAAGTGAAATATATTTATTTTTTTATCAACATGTAAATCCTATAATCGATCTAATGTTTAGTTTAATATTACCATTTTGTTTTTTATTTATTGCAAATATATTTCTTATATTAAATGTAAATGAAGTAAAACATCGTTCACAACGTAAAATAAGTCGTAATTATCGTTTAACAATTGTTTTATTAGTTGATTTAATTAAATTTTTAATTGTTTCTACACCTGTTTTAATAATTGAAATAATTTATCGTTTAACACGTCATAATACATTAAAATATGAACAAATCTTATCATTATCATGGTTAATTGCAAATAAAATATTTTATTTAAATTATTCATTATCATTTTATCTTTATGTATTAACATCATCTTATTTTAGACAACAATTTTTAAATGCTATTTATTTACCGTATGGTATATATTCAAAAAATCATAGATTAAAAATAAGTAAACAAACTGAACAAACATGTTTATTAACAAATAATACTATAGCATTAAAAGAATCGGATAATTGAGAAAATTAATTATAATTTACCTGAACTATTCATCAGTATACTAAAGATATTGAAATTCATAAAATGAATATTTTCAAACTTATTCTGTGAAAAAAAAAAAAGAACAAAAACTTTGTTATTGAAATAAAAATATTTTGGCAAATATAAATGATTTAGTGTGCACACACTAATGTAACCATATCACTATGGAATAAAATGTGACCATTAATAAATTAGACAAATCGAATATATAAAATTACCTATCAAATAAATATAGTTTAAACCAAATTATCGATCAATTTTAACAAGGGGGAAAATGAATCACTTCGCCACTTCACTTCTAACCAAGTTAGTTTCTTTTGATCAGTAGGATTTCTTTTTCAGATAAAATAAATAAAATTATCCCTATACTAAAAAATTTATCATTAAAACTACAATGATCCAAAGTCATTTCTCTCTCATAATTTATATCTTTGAATCAAATTACCATTATTAACATAAATATTAATAATATAAAAATTATATTTTTTCTATTAAATTTAACGGAATAAGATGAACACCTGCGATTTCCTGTGTCTTGCAACAGCATCTTCCTATGTATTAAACGAAATCAAAATTTCGATTTTCATTCGTCAAAGCAGATCGAAAAGACGAGACAAAAAAGTTTGGCTCACGAAAGTCAAGCGCATGAGATATTCAAGCACTTGAGGTAAGAATCTCATGCGCATGAGTTTCTTGAGATACGGAACTTAAGCACATGAGTCAAGAAAGTCAAGTGCATGACATCGGAAAAAATGCGTTTTGCATAAGCAAGAAATGTCTCCACGCCATGAGATTCTTACTCAAGAAATTCAAGAAAGTCATGTGCTTGAGGAAAAAAGCTTCACTAGGGATATAGCCTTATAGAGCAAAGAATTCTGAGCATAATAAGATATCTCCCGGCTGTCTATAACGCTTTTCACCTAAACATTTTGATAATTTTCCCACCCTTTGCAGTCATTGGTAAATCGACTACAGCTGCGTGTAAAAAAACCGGATATCTGTAATTGTATCACATAATGACTGTTAACTACATAACTTCGCCCAGATTTCAAAACATGATATACAAAATACAAAACCAGGCTCATTTATTCTTCTTTCTCAATAAGCAAGTCTTCGTGATAATGTCGTTTTCTGTATTCGCGATAATGTCGTGTCACGTAGTTTCTGTACCTATGAGAAATTTGAATCTTAACAGTAACTTCTATATTAAAATGGATAAAGAGTAAACCTATGTTTTGGCGAATAAAAAGTCGTACTAAGAGATTTCTTTTAGTCAGAATGGAACGAGATGAGAAAAATCTACTTCCATGACTAAACACCTTTCTTGATTTATGGCACATCCTCTTGAAGCCTCTATAACTAAATAACCCGTCTAAACCCGTAACTAAATTTGAGCTAAATGTTTTATTACACCTACTACAGCTCCGTCAGAAAACGCCTCTTAAATATTTTGATACAAGTATCGAAATTCCTCTTCCCTTATATTTTCTTCACGAAGAAACCATAAATAAGAAACGAAAATTGCCAAGCAATAACAGAAGTAGCAAAGCTCTTTTTCATACTTCAATCGAAGCGACTCTGACGAAATAACTTCACAAAAAAACAAAACAGATTAACTTTTACAAAAGTTCGCATAAACCAGAGACTTGTATTTTATGAACAGTGGACAAATGCTAATAGTAAAAAGTATGCCCCGGGTGAGGATCGAACTCACGACCTTCAGATTATGAGACTGACGCTCTACCTACTGAGCCACCGCGGCGACAACTTGTGTTCTATGTCAGAATTGTGCAACGTTAGCGATTAACACTCCACTAATGACGATTCGAGCTTTCTAGCATGTAAAATGGTGGAGAAATCTAAATCGCGCGGACACCTACTTGTTGACCTTTAATTTCAAGATAACTCTGAGAAAACTCAATACTTCGAGCTCAAATCTTTTGTATGATATATCAAACACAAGGGACATATTCTGTGACAAATTTTATGAAGATCGGATGTTCTGAGACAAAAATAGATTTTTGACAGAGGGAACCTTAAGCATGTTAGGGTTATGCATCATACAGTAAGGGGACATCTCCTCCTGCAACGTTAGCGGTTAACACTTAACTAACGTTGACGATTCATTTCAGCTCTCCTCAAATAATGTAGTTGTGATTCATACGTTTGGAGAACAGAATGATACTGATAAGGATAAAGTCATTCTCTCGATTTGCGCTTTAAGCTATGCATTAGAGAGACAAACTATTTTTCTGTTCCTCATCTGGTTTATTGTATGGCGCGGCACAACTCGTACTCAGTGATTAAGATCAGTATAGTTTTCAGCTGCTATATTTCATCCAAGTATGAAGGTAAAAAGACATGATCAATTAATTTAATTTATCTCTAAAGATTTTATATGCTGGACTTTTTAACAGTCATGCCGCAGAAAACCCTCAAACCACAATAAAAATTTTAGCTTTGTCTAAACTGTCTTATAAAAGTCTGAACAAACTGCGACGATCCCGGGTCCTGAACAACGTTTTCTTGCTTAATTATGAACGATACAAATTTTGGCTTATTTTTACACATTTGAATCAAAATGATAGAATGATTTTTTTTCATTGCATACCGAAATGAATTCCCAGCGAATGCGAACTCATTTTTCAGAAATTCAGTTTTAGACGATACAAAGAATGTGTATTTGCCAAGCTATATTCTAAGAAAAAAAATGGAAGAAGAGGAAAAGTGAAGTAATAAAAACGAAAGAATAAAAGCCTCCTATTGACTAAGTATTATCTACAAAATGAGACAGTTTCCAGCTCTGCACATGGATTTATTGATTGTTCTGGTAACTGAAGTCATATTTTTTAATCATTAGAACTCTCTAGAGAAGAACTCTCGCTTTACTGTTTAGAAAGAGCTTTATCAAGGTCCATAGGGACGAAGCGTCCTTTCCAGCTGCTTTCTCACGCTGTATAGGGAGCTAACCCCTGATTTTCACAGTCTATAAGGAAGAGACCCATACCATCTTAGTATGAGCAGCAGAAAGACTTGCTGCTTTAGTTCAATCATATTTACGAAAGCCTTTCATCTTAAGACCTTTGGTCTTTGTTGACAAGCTTTACTTAATAGAAAATGCATCTTGATTAGTTTATTCTTTTAGGTATTACACGGCCAGCTGTAATGACAAGGCCTTTGTTAACATGCGAGTCCACGAAAGCAATGTTGTTTGTTTGCAAAGAGATATTGCATGTTTCTAATATATTTAGATCAAAGATTCCACCTTTGACACAAGCTCTTGCTTTCCCGTGTATAAACGTAACGTTATTTTTAGCAATAAAGCATAGTTCAGTATTCAAATACTTCTTAGTAAAACGGTTAGTATCAAGGCGGAACAACCGGATCCGTGTCTTCGCATGAATCCGGGAAGATCCCTATGGATCCTTAAATATCCGAAAGTTGTCCTGAGAGTACAAAAGCCTTCCATAAACCTGTTATACATTTTAAACAGATAAGTAGGGTGAAACGAATATTTCGTTCCGCGAACCCATTGCAATGTGCTTTTCGTACTTTTCTCAGAATGAAACGCGTTTGAAGGAAAGTCTTATATACAATTCGATGCAGCCTTAAACGGCGAATAAAACTATCTATTGCTTAATTGCTATGTACACTGTGAGCACCCACGTTTTTGGAATATTACTGTTAAAAATCACCTTTTCAGCAAATTCTACGATATTAGTTCTATTCTTTCACCATGAAAGAACCTAGACTGCGGTCTGTACTATATATCAAAAGAAAGCTCTTTCAAAACTCTAGAAAATGGCTGGTAATTCATTCCTGGTTGAAAGTGTTAGCACTCACTTTTACGGATATTACTGCTGGAGAGTGGTGTTTCGGCATTGACGGATAGGCTCAATTCATATAAAACCTACCAGCATCTACATCGATCTTTGACATCAGTGACGGGACAGACCTCGCATTATAGAGCTCAGAAAACTAAACCGAATGGTGAAAACCGCAAGTTTCTAGCCTAGTTAGAAAAAAGTTATAGTCGTTTCACCCTCGCAGCAGAAAAATGCAGTTTTCGGCGGATGTGGCCTAACACGAAGAACGCCTCTTGGCCATATTCCCTGTTGTAGAACCTTGAAGTTGGTATCAAATGAAAGAGCGCGTCGAGTTCTGCATATTTCGATGAAGAAAAATTACGCTACATCTCGGGGTCTTGAGATAGGGATTTCTGACGAAAGCCGTTTTCCAGAAAACCTAATGATCTTGAAATTTCTTTCAGAAGTTTTTCAACCATATCACTAGATAGCCCCTTGGCTTGCTCTCAAGAAAGGTATATATTTCCAGTTTTCTAGTATTTTCAATCTAGTGACACAGAGAGAAAAACCTAAGCAAACGTTTTCTGTAGACCAGAGATAGATGCCGCGAGATAGCAGTAAACTGTGATAATACCAGAAAAAGTCGAAAATGTCTTAGCTGTATATTATATGAGATGGGAGGGGAGAGCATTCTTTAGAAATCAGAAATATGTCTAGACATCTGGAGATCTGTGCAGAGTTTCGAGAAAACCCTTTAGATTTATATTCAAATGCTCGTACGTCAAACTCAGAGTGAAATTTCTTTTTGACTTTATTATACATAATCTGAATCGCCAGGTCGAGCTGATCACAAATATCACCTTTTTAGTTCGAAAAAAATGAAATCTTGATGGAGAAAAATGCGAAATACTATGACGAGGTCGAAAAAGCTAAAAACTGTTCTTTTTCAGAAAATAGTTCACAATTTTTTCCTTTACATTTTACTTATTCTCATTAATATTTTCAAATTCTACGTTGAAAACTGACTCTAGAGAGGTCTCTTTCAATGACGTTTGGTCAAAACTGAAATTTTGGCTGAGCTCAGAACTGGCTAACGAGGGAAGTTCCCCAGGTGTTTAAAGCCTTTAGGTCCCATCTTTTGGCGATAGGTAGACCTCAATGAGGTATGAAAAACCTCAAGAGGATTTATCCCCTCGTGCCTTTATTCCCGAGATATCCAGTTCTCAAGATACATACGAAACGGGACCGAAGTGGAAAATGATCGTTCTTAGAGAGCAGTACAGTACTCAGGTAGAAAATTTTCAACGCTTCAAGCATTGCTCGTACTGCCTATTCTGGATTTAGTGCTAGGTCATATCTCATCAGTACTACCTCTAAGGGCTGTTCATCGGGTCACAGAACATCCAGAACTCTTCATTTCACATCTGATTTCATTATACACTGCAAAAGTCCACACAAGAGTGACTCAATGAAAATGATAGTTCAGAAAAAAGTGATTGAAACATAGTGGTTTGTCACACCAGCTGCAGCAGATAAAAGGAGCTGCATCGCATGAAGGTGCAGCGCATATTGTTGTATCGAAGGAAAAACACACTTCGCCCATTGTTTTAAAGAATTTGGAATGATTGTCTGTGTAACCACCACCGGCATTCCAAGCGTATTGGATCATCGGACGAAACACCTTGGCAGAGAGTTGATTGTGAGTGAGAGACATGAGACGAATGATGTTATTCCGTTCGCTCATGTTGATGTCAAGTTCATCGAGTAGCACACCATCGTATAACCGACGAGGAATCACTTTCATCTGTCTGTTGAAAAAAACATCCAGTGGTTGAATTTGATTCGTCATTTTTTTCGGTATCTCCAGCCTTGTGCATCCTGGGATATGATCGTATAATCCCTTTCAATATGTCTGTCCACCCCAACAGTCCGAGATGAGCAGGAACTTTTGATGTTTTCCTATTGACGGAAGGAGTACATGATCGCGCCAATACCCAACCAAAGATGTTGTGAGCTTTCCAAAACTGCTACATGTGATCACCACATTCGACGTCTTGAAAAGATGCTAGCGAATATTGTCACTCAGGCGCCCTTCCTTCAAGCAGAGGTAAAGCGGCGAGAGGAGATGACCGTCGAGTGTGATTGTTGGTTGCGCTGTATAGCTGTGGGTGGTAGCATTCACAGAGCGAACGGATCCAATTGTTACTTTCTCCCCTCTATAGCTTAATGTTCGAATAGAGTGGAATTCGAACTGAATTCCACTTTGGTCTCTGTTGAGAACTTCGTGTTTTTTGTACTGAGGTAAGCGTCTGCGAACATCGGCTACGAGCTAATCGGCCGAAGTTCTAATCGTCTCTTCATCTTCTACGTGGCGCTTCGTCACAATCTAGCAAAAACAAATAAATTCAGTAGGTTTGATTTCAAAGAATCCTAGGGCAAACGACGACTGTGCAAAATCGACAAGTCTGAAACTTGGAAAGCCTCTTTTTTCATGTTTATCTCGTTTTAGAGGAGAGAGCTTCCCTCCCAAAATTTCTTAGAAATAGTTACAAATGTCTCACCTTCGTTATCTTGCGCGAGACAATATTGTATTTGTGTTTAAATGTGTACAACCAATGTTTTGAAGCGACAAAATTGTATAAGAACTCATTCATAGCCTGTTTAAGAGCCCATCGTCGTAGATCAATATCGTGTACTGGCAGCGCTTTCTCTCGAGCCCGCTCGAACATATCAAATAGATAATCATCGATTTTCTCGAGCTTCTGTTTCTTGGTTCCATGTTTTTCAAGATAACGGCGAAAGCGCGAGAGATAGGTTTGATGCGGGATACGTTGGAAGTTGTGTTTCACCGTCTCCCATCGTCTCTTTCATTTTCCAGTTTGTGCATTAATTTCATCATAGAATTCGACTGCCCTGGCCATATAATCCAGTGAAAACTGTTTGCACAAAGCTGCCTCTTCATCTTCATCTTCATCCTCATCATTCCAGTTGGGATCCCATGTTCCTTCATCTGTATCTTCGCACTCGACATCATTGATCAATTCGTCATCGGCTAAC